GTTGTTGCTTTACAGTTTAACATATGCACTCGTCATGCATATGGAGAAAAAAAAGCATCGGCTGGCCGCGTGAAATCTTTACCTTCAGCACGCATGATTGTAGAAAATTCTGCAAAATGTTGTTGATAAAATGCATCCTCAATTTTGCAGAAATTCTAAATGAAATACTACGTGGTTACAACAGGATCCTCATCTCCCTCATATTCTAACCTGTAAATGATACAGGGCATACAAAAGCCTCCCTTACAATATCCTTGTAGCAGTGGGGCTCAGTACGGTTCTCGCTAACATAAATAGCGAAGCAGTGAGCGCAAAAGGATCGAAAGCTTGATTATCACTGAATGGGCTAAGCAGAGCCGCCGTGCTTTGGGCAGAACAAGCCGTTTATTTAAGCGCACACTACTGGCTCATTGCCCTCATTTCCTTTTTAAGCGTTTTTTGCAGCTATTCAATGCAGAAAACGCATATTGACGAGGGGTTGTCTCTGTGAGTATGCGTCTATGCGTTCGTCTGTACCGATTTTTTATCTCGAGACCCACAAAAGCTACAAGGCTGAAACTTGGGGAACTTAATCTATGTGCACTTGCGGGCCCCATTCCCAAAATGAGTGCTCTTACCAGCGTAGTACCCACGTACAGGCCCGCCAAAGTTTTTTACGGACAAGCTGCTAACTCGGAAACCAGAGAAGCTGGAAAGTTGAAATTTTAAGGGGATATTTTCCATCTAGGTATGTGTTAGTGAACTCAGACCCAGTCCCCGGGTATGTGTGGTGCCTACGTAAGAGCCCGTGAAAATTTTTTCCGGGTAAGCTGCTAGCTCGGGGATCTGAGAAGCTAGAAGACCGGAACTTTAAGAGAACATTTCCCGCCCGCGTAGGTGTTAATGAGCTCAAGTCCAGAAACTGGGTATGCGTGATGCCCACGTATGAGCCCGTGAAATTCTCTCGGGTAAGTTGCTAGCTCTGGAACCTGAAACTGAAATTTTAAGGGGTTGTGTCCTGAAAGCTCTGGCGGCCAGTCCTAATCTTTCTAGCTAGAAGCATTTGCCGGAAAAACCGGTGCCGGTAGCGGTAAAAGCTGTGGGGAACTGTGCAAAAAACACATCTTCGCACGGGCAGCCCGCGCGTTGGCAATTATTTTTTCCTTCTGCCAGTATCTTTGAAGCAATTTCAGTGCCGTAAAACGTCATGCCGGTTCTGTTCCTCTTTCGTTCTTGAATGTATAAAGGTTATGGGATCAAATGGTTCTCGATTTTGACAAAGTGATGAGTGTTCACGCAAATGGATTGACATCTCAAATTAATTGTGCAGCACAAAATACTATTCAAAGTCAAAAGTTGAGAAAAAGCTTCAAATTTTATCTTAGAAGGACTTGGGAGTAACCGGGATGATGTCATATTGAAAACAGCAATCGCCAAAAAGCATGATAACTGGAGAAGACGCAGCACTCTTCCTACATTAAACATATAATCAGTTAAATCCTTGATGTTCGAATCCTATGATTTTTATTCGTTTTTGCATATTTATGCAGGGACAGAAAACGTGTTTTGACAAGGCGTTGTCAGCACGCATGCATGTATATATGTATGTGCGTGTATGTATGCATGTATGTATGCATGTGTGTATGTAAGTATGTATATATGTATGTATATGTGTATTTATGTATATATATATATGTATGTGGGTTTGTATGTGTGTATATATGTATGAATGTTGTATGTATGTATGTATGTATGTATGTATGTATGTGTGTATGTATGTATGTATGTATGTATGTATG